TTTTAGTTTCTGTAGATTATCTTTTCTGGACCACTTGATATAACTTTCCTTAGCATGGTAGTTTGGACCTTCATCCATGTTGTAACATGTATTAGCATGCACTTATTCCTTTTGCTGCATGTTTGGAGTATTTTAATTTTAACCTATTATGAATGATATTTTGGGCACATTAATATATAAATTTTTATGTTGACATAATTTCATTTATCTTGGGTAGATATGCTATCTGTTGAGAACATAGTACCAGTCTAAATTTTACAGAAACTGCCAAATGCTTTTCATACATAGTTTTACCATTTACCATTTCCACAAGCAACGCAACACTTATTTTTATCTATTTGATAACACTAATCCTGGAGAGAGTAAATGATATCTCATTGTAGTCTTCAATTGAATTTTCTTAATGACTGATGATGCCAGACATACTTTCATTGCTAATAACTTCTTGGGCAAAATGTTAATTCAAATCTTAAATTAGGACATCTTTCTCTTTCCTCACTAATGCCTTGTAAGAGTTGTTGGCATGTTTCAGTTAAGTTCCAGATTAAAAATGTGTTTTGCAAATATTTTCTCCTGCTGAGTTTGTCTTTCCATTTTACTGATAGACAAGTCATTTAATGCAAATCACTCGTGTTTCACATGCCGTGTGGGAAAGTCTTGATATTTACTCTCACCATTGTATGACTGAAATGAGCTATGCGTATGACAAGCACTCAGAACAAAGTTGGACACTAGACTTACTGAAGAATCAGGACATGAAAAAGTGGAGGGAAAACACATTCTTTAGTCAGGGAAGAAGAAAATAAAACAGCTATAAACTAAAGCCCCACGGTGTAAATAAAACACCAAGAAACAAAGGAAGAATCAAAAATCTAGGCCTGGGAAGGTGGCCCAGAGGCGAGAGTGAGCCCAGCTGTGGGGGAACAGAGCAAACCAGCATCCTCCAGTCGAAGGCAGGATTATCCTCATGTGCATGCTTCATTCTAAGCCAAACATCTAAGCACACAGCGGAGAGAGCATGTAGCAACAGGCGTTTTGTTATATAACGTGGAGAAATCAAAGAAATAGTAAAAAGATTATAGCCGATGTACCATGCCACCAATAAGGAAGAAAACTGCAAGAATGTTTAGTGTGTGGGTATGGGGGTGTGCACATGTGTGGCACGTTCATGTATGTGAGTGCACATGTATGTGCATGTGTATCTGTTTGTGTAGGCCAGAGTTCAACCTTGAGTGTCATTCTTCACATATCCATCTTGTTTCCTCAGACACAGAGAAGGGGACCCGGGGCTCATGGATTAGGCTTGGGTGGCTGACCAGCAAGTCCTAGGATTCCTTCTGTCCCCACCTCCCTGGTGATGGGGTTACAGATGGGTGACACCAAACCTGGTTTCCCACATGAATTCTGGGGCTTGAATTCAGGCCTCCTGCTTGCCTTGCTAACAGAGCTATCTTCCCAGCCTGAAAACTGCAAACATATTAGAGGTGGGAATGCCTGACAAGGATGGGGGTGGGGGAACATGGAACTCAAACATAAGCAGTGTCTGGATGCCGGAGTGTCGAGCTTGGCTAAGCCAGCTGTGGAGTGCTGGAACAAGTCTTTTTAAATTGCTCTTAAATTAATTTTAATTACATGTGTATATGTATACGCAGTATATGATGTGTGTATGCTGATATATATAATATGTGTATGGATCGGTATGTGAACATTGGTACAGCTAACCCTAGAATCCAGAAGAGGCCGTTAGATACCCTGAAACTGGACTTACAGGTAGCTGTGGGCCGCCCCATGTGGACGCTGTGAAGCCAGCTCCAGTCCTCAAGAGCAGTATGTGCTCTTAACCATTCAGCCATCTCTGCAAGCCCCCATTACAATCTCTTATAAACTGTAACCAGTTTTAAACTAAGGCCATTTTGTCAGGGAATCATCATCAAAACAGATTCAAGAGCCAATACCCCTAAATGAGGAAAACCACTGGCTGCCATGGAAAGAAGGAAAGCCCCACATGGCCAGAAAACATTAGCAGCTAACATTTGAGCTTCAACAAAGGAGGAGTTAGGTGGGGTTTTGCATAAACTATCTCATACAAGTTTTGCTATTCCCAGTTAAGCAGGCTGTATACAAAAGAGGAAAGCAGCAAGACTCAAAGTTCAAGCCACTTGGCAGAGCCTGAGGTTGATCTGGATGAGGTCTTGCTCTAAATCGCTGCAGTGTGCTGGAGTCGATCCCAGCCTGGATCATCCTTCGGCAGGAACCATGGCCTGTCCCCCCAACACCAGAACATGGCCTGGCAGAGACATAGGCAACAGTGGTGTGGCAAGCAGGCATGGCAGGACCAAAGTCTTAATAATACGGAATGGAAATGGAATGGAAGAATAGCTGGCTAAGAAAAAGTAAGAGTTCCAAAGTTTCAAAGTCAAGTTCCTTGAAACATGGGTCCAAGCTATTCTCTCTGGAGTAAGGGCTTCATCTCACATCTCCTTATGCTGTTATTTGATGACTTCATCCCCTAACTGGTCCCCAGGACTGATGCATGGCCTGGTGTCCACTGCATGAACGACCTCAGCAAACCAGCATCACACTGTGGCTACACAGCTTAGGGTAGCTGGAAGCTGCACCTTCAAACCCTTCAGGTTGGGGGTTGAGCTCTCTAGCCTTAGTGTCACCAGCTATAAAATATAAATACTAATCGTTTCCATTCCAGAAGTCCAAATAGGGCACAAGCCCAGAGACTGGCGTTTAGAAGTGGTTCAAAATACGTGCTTGGGTGCTTGCTCTGATGTCCATATCAAATAGAAATGTCTCATTCCAAAAGTGTCACAACACCCCTGCGTGGTATGATGCCAAGCTGATTTGTACCGGGGCTGATTCTCACCCTTCTTATCCTGGCCTAACTCTTTGAAGATAAGACACCCTCAATTCCCATCCTTCCTCCTGTATTCTCTTCCCTTCCCCCCCACCCTCCTTTCAGCTAGTTAGACAAAAAAAAAAAAAAAAAAGAAGATTCTGGAATCTCACCAAACTTAGCAGGAAGTTGTGAATGAGGACTGCACAGGACACCTGGCTTTCAAATGAGACAGATCCGGAATTAATTCTGAAGGATAGGTAATGTCCCCAGGAAGCCTGGAGACTACCAAATCGCTATCTTGCACTGATAGACAACAATAGCCTGTTCCGTTGAAGGTCTGGGTGGTACTATCAGTAATGGAATGACTGAGATCAATTTTTGGAATCAATTGAGATCAATCCCATGGCATCTGGTGCTGCACATGGGACTGAGATCCCTACATGGGTTTGAAGAATGCCATAGAAATTCAAACCAAGGGGCTGAGTTATTAAGCTTTCATAATTAGGATCCTGTAAAACACAAAAAGGGCATTAAATAAAAAAGATCCTGGCTCCAGAGACTACAGGTTATGATATGTGTACTTTGTCCCTTCACTAAATTCAAGAAATGCCATTCTGGAATTACCATATCTTCCACATGGGGAAGTCTTGCTCCGTCTGTGCATCTGAACACTTGCCTTGATTGTGGGTGGGGCTCGCAGTGACCATGCCCACACTTGATATTTTTCATAATGAATATCTAAAAAGGCAATATCAACCGGGTCACCATACAGCCCGTGACAGCACACCTACTATGACAGCACTTGACCACCTAAGCAGAGCTCTGGGTATTTATTACCAGGAAGCAGGTCCATGCGTCAACACTTTTGGCCAGCCAAGACCCTGATGCCTCTGAGAAGCCCTGAAACCTTTAAATTAGGCTAATAATATTTCAGAGCTCTTATGTCCATTGGGCCTTGTATAGAAGACAGGGGTGAGTTGGTTGCCATTGTCTCTGCAGCAATTACTTAAAAGTTAAGTGCTCTGTCTTTTAATTCTGTAGTAAGTTATGATCCTCATTTCATAATAAAAGCATTGGAGACTCGGGGTAGCAAAAGTAGGACAGTTTATTTCCCAAACTTGCAAAGTGGAGCATCACTGTGAAGAAAAGACAAAGAGGTGGCTGATGTGGTGATCTGAAAGAAAAGTGTTTTTTAAACTATCTCCAGCCTTATTTCCTTGCTTCCCGGGCTGGCTGGATCTTCAGGAAGGTACAATTATGCCAGGGTCTACTCTTGTCCCCTGCCAGGATTCCCCATTGTACTGGTTCAGTATTCTCTGTCTCTTGCAAGCAAGAGTTCAGGGGGCTAAAATGGTCTCCTCAAGACCTCAGGGTGAATAGGTGGTCTAGCCAGGATTTGAATGCCATGCAAATACAGAGCACAGATGACGTTTAGTCTCTGCTTTCTCTCAGCCTGGAGTTGCTTTGGTCTATATATTTTTTGCATGATGCAACCAAGAATTCATGTGTTGAAATTATATGGCAACTGTGAGCTAGTCAGAAGGTGGAAGTGGTGCTGGAAAGATGGACCAATAATTAAGAACACTTACTGCTCTTGCAGAGGACCCAGGGTTCAGTTCCCAGCACCTACATGGAGGCTCACAAACATTTGTAATTCCAGTTCCAAGGAGTCAGATGCCCTCCTCTGACCTATATGGGCACTGCATGAATGTACACACACACACACACACACACACACACACACACACACACACACACACATAAATACTTTTTATGTTTAAAAAGTAAGAAAAATGATTTCTACTGTGGTATTTAGAGGTGAGGGCCTTTGAGTGGTGACCAGGATGGATAGAGTGATGGGGATGGATCCCCACTACTGAATCCTAGTGTCTTTATAAGACAAGGGAGAGAGATCAGAAAGACACGTTAGACATGCGTGTGCTCCCTGTCTCTGGCCATGCAATGTCCTCCTGCCTTTCAGGACTCTGCAGTAGGGAAGTCATCATCAGATTCATCCTCTAAATCTTTCTCCTCTAGAATCAGAAACCAAAATAAACATCTTGTCTTGATTATTTCATTATGAAAACAAAAATGAACCTATATAGGACTTAACACAGAGTTTTAGCAATCACTTAAGTATATGGGTAAAATCCTTTGCACCAGAAAGTGATCTTGGCTGTCTGTTTCCCAGTTGTTGGTAGTGCAAGGAAAGAATACTGAAAATCATGCTTCCCAAGTTTGAGGACATCCATCCTGACTCCTCCAAAGCCTGGAGTTTTCATACACTTGTCCTTTTCTCTGCTGAAAAGCAGAGAAATCGCATTGTAGTGTTTTCTGGAAGTTACACAAATCTATGACAGTTACACAAATTCATGAACAGGATTGTCAGCTGATCTCTGCCAAGTGACCTCAAAAGTTCTCAGGATTCAAAAAAGAAGCTGAAACAGGCCACTCACAGGGTGTCTGCGGACACCAGAGAGCCATGGAGTGGACAGCAAGATCACTATACAAGGCAAAACGGGAGACACTGCCCACCCAGAAAATCATGAAATAGCTTTTTACTCTGCTAAATAACTGTCTCAGGCATGGTAGACTCCAGCACACAGTCTCGACAGTAACACCTCAGAGGGCTATATTCTGTCCCTGTGTCCATCTGTTAGTGCCTGGAATGACTATAATGACAAGAGATTTTCTATTTCATTTGTTCCTAACTTTTCTGCCATATCCCCAACAACTATTTAATGAACCCTATATGAAGAAGAAGAAGAAGAAGAAGAAGAAGAAGAAGAAGAAGAAGAAGAAGAAGAAGAAGAAGAAGAAGAAGAAGAAGA